AGGTTTAGGAGAATCCCCAAAACCCTTAAGTCCACAAATCATTTCATATAGCCTTACGTCCTCGGTGTTCTGGTAGCATACGCAAAATTTTACACGCACATAATTGAGTTTCCATCATTCAACTCAACAGATATTCACTGAGCTTCTATTATGTCTCAGGTATGATGAGAGGTCCCGGAGATTCAAAGAATAAACTTAAAGGAAACTCAGTTGTCATTCGGAAAATGATCAATATAATTGCTCACAATTCAGGGATGTAGCCTGTCTAGCTCTGGGTCTGTTTTCAATTGTGTCCGTGTTAGCATGTTAGAGTCTGGGAAAAGTTCTCCCAGAAAGTTCCTATCATGGAATGGCAACCGTAAGACAGAGACATCCATCAATTTCCCCAAGCACACCAAAGCACAAGTTCTTAGAGCAATCTCAGCAGAGCACAAGATCACATCACGGTCACGGGGACGGACAGAGCCTCCTGGTCACAGAGTTAAGGTGAATGGTAAGGTTGAAAGCGATCAACTCTGTACCTGCTCACTCTCTGAAAACTTTAGGAGAAAAGGGAGAAAAAAGAGGAATTGAACCACTCTTACAAATTGTTTTTTTTTGGCAGCTGGCTGGCACAGGGATCTGAACCTGTGACCTTGATGTTATAAAGCTGTGGTCTAATCAACTGAGCTGACCGGCCAGCACCACTCTTACAAACTGTGTGTGTGTGAATGGCTTTTCAAAGACATGACTGTCATCTCTGCAAAACAAAACAAAAAACAAGAGGGTGCTTTGGGCTTTAATTGCTAATGAGCTGTACTAGGCACACGGAGGGGAACCCAGCCCTGTCTAAGGAGAATGTGGATGTAAACAACATTGTCTCTGCGGCCACTTTAATTCATTCCACAAGCTTCCTGTCATCCTGTCCAGTAACGCTTCTCATGCATTCCTGCCACAAAATATGGGCTTTCAAGAGCCAGCTGATTTCATCATTGTCCACTTGGGTGGAGTGAGACTCGGTTCCAAAGTGAACATTTCCCGAATGACATACATGGATGGTTCAGATGCACTTCATTATTTGCTATTAACAAAGGAAATAAATTTTAATCTCTTGCTGGCTAGTGCTGGCCTCTCCTGACAGCAAGGGAATTAACCTGAATTATTTCAGTGTCTGCAAAATTTATTACAAGATTCTAAATTATGTCCAAATGTATGTGCATGTACACGTATATATATAGATAGATAGATAGATAGATAGATAGATAGATAGATAGATAGATAGATAGATACGAGGCAAGTTCCAGTTTTTAATAGTCCAAATATCTTAGACTGTGAGGTCCTTAGGAGAGCCTGCCTGCCACTTAAACTGAATTTGCTGAATGTAACAGATTTAATTCACACAACGTGAAGTCAGACACATGTGGTTGCTGTCCCTATACGTGGAGATGCACACTTAAATTCTGCCTTTTGCACACATTCTCTCTACTTCTGGAAGAATGCATGAACTACCTAATGAAGATAAAGATATATTTGGTAGAGTCAAAGCTTCTAATTTAACTTCCTTCACTATTTTCTGATGAACGATGACAATGCTGATAATATTCAATTCAGACAA